CAGCCTCGTAGATGTCCTTTTCAGTTAGCTTTAGTGAACATCCGTTCCGGCTTGATGTCGCTAGCGTACGGAAACTTCCTGAAAAGCGTGTGTAACAATATATAATTTTATAACTAGATGGAGGATGAGTGCAGTTTATCGACAAGTGTTTTTGGTAATAGAACGAACCGGGGTGTGAAGCGTGAGGGGAGTGTAAACTTGGGCTCAGGAGCGAGTATAAATAACATAGAGACAAAAGAATAATACTAATTGTTACAAATAATTTCTAAAACAAAACAATGTATAATTTAGTAAGGTGTTTAAATAAAAGGTGAAATTAAAATAAGAAACAATTTCCTAAAAGAAATACTTATAGGGAAAATCATGCGACGCCTATGGTTTGTTTACTAACTTAAGTCACATTCACGCATTTCTGGATTATAATTAACAACACGTGGTTAATGAATATGCCACTTTAGGTACCTTGTTTGCAATTAATAAGCATTAACTTTAAATCTTTAACACATTTGTGACGAAATGTCACAGAAATACCTCAAATCAAAATTAAAAGAAGCAATAATTTATTAATATAAAAAACACAAGTTAAACAAATAAAAAACAAGCTTTCAAAAGATGTCACATAATTTTTTCTGTGTATTGTTGGTTGTCGTTCTTTCTCACTGTCGGCTCGCTGTAATCACAGTCATATATATTATTTATTGCTTTAATATTGTTTTATTAGGAAAATAGATGAGAATGCTTTCATGTTTTAAATATCTTTTGCATGTTTTATTAATAATGTAAACATCGCAGTAAAACGATTTATAAATGTAAAAGGGAATATTAACTAGAGTGCGAAGTTTTAATAGTAAATGTTATAGTCAACCCGTTCGTTATGGTGGATGCGCCGGGAAAATTGTTTTTTTTTAAATGCAACTTTGAGCTAGAGAGAACAAGCAAGCAACTATAACTTTTAATATGCATGAAAAACTTTTTTGTACTCCCACATCTAAAACATGGATTATGTTTCCATGACGCTAAGTGACCTTTTATACACACCTTAACAAGCCGTGACTTTTATGCGTATTAGTCACGTTGCTAATCGCAACTGTCATATTAGTCACGGGATGAAGTTAGCTTTCTGTAATTCTAATAATTTTTGGAGTGTGAATCTGGCTGCACGAAACGAAAATGTTGGGGAAACGCGTTGTGACGCGAGTAGCAAATTTTTGGTCGACTGTAATTTAAATTTTGGCCTCAAAAAAAAATTACTTATTGCTAACTTTACCGAGGTGCTTTCTGTCAGTTGTCATTTAGTTGTCATTTAGACGTGGCTGCGGCTTGTGAAAAATGATTAAAAATGAAAGTGAAGATGATGTTTTTAGTGGAATTTGCACTCCACCCGAGATTACCGAAGCAGCGGCCTTGGCAACTGCTAATTTGCTGCCGGAAAAATCAAAAAGTCATTACGAACGTGCATATAAACTTTTCCAAGATTGGCGTCAAGAAATTAAATAAATTCTTTAACTGAGAACGTGCTGCTTGCATATTTTCAAGATTTTTCAAAAAGAATGAAACCGTCTTCTTTGTGGACAATCTACTCAATGTTGCGGATGACGCTTAAACTAAAAAATAATGTTTACAACAAATACAACAAATATATATTTTTTTATTTAAGTATTTTTTTTTGTGGTGATCGTAGAAAAAGTATAGTATGTAACACGTGTATAAACTTCTCTAGACATTCGTTTTATTAGGCACGAGCGAAGCGCAGCGGACTCATGTCTAAAGTGGCGTTTATAACACTAGTTATATAATATACTATTATTTTCCTTTGTCCTATGACCTAAAGGTATGCGTAAGCACCACTATAATCATAATGTTCATTCTGAATATTTTTGCGATGATTAATTAAACCAAACACAGCAAAAGTTTCGTATTTGATTAATTTGATTTTCGTTAGGCCGATTGACACTGACAGTTCGATAGAAAAACGGTCAGGTCGCCAACATTATAAGACTAAATTTCCTTCTTTTTAGTATAATTTTTATAGCACTGTTTTTGCTCAGTACGAATCCCAAAACAGTTTCGCACTGTGCCTTAGGACAAACGCAAAGTAGAAAAACATTTTTATGAGATTATTGCTCCGCTGCGCTTTGCTCGTGCCTAATAAAACTTATGTCTAATGTGGCGTTTATAACACTAGTTACATAATATGCTATTAATAGTAATTGTTAAAAATTGATTGATTAACTTTGTTTTCAGTATTTCAATAATAAAAATATTTTTATTTAGACAACATGATTGTTCATTCAAATTCAGTAGGTGTGCAGCGTATTTTTGTAATTAAATGATGAATAAAGACAAATTTCAAATTCAAAAATTCTACGTCGTATTAAAAAATGGTTAAAAGACTTGTGTTCACTAATATTGTAAAAGTAAGTATAAAGTTACAATCCATAGCTGTCCTCAGAACCTAGAACATTATTTTAATATAATTTATTTTGAGAGGAATTGTTCAAGTTGGTCATATGTGTAGGTAAATACTTTGCGACTTGTAAATCTTATTCTCGTATGCAAAAGGTGCTCTAGGTGCTTTGCGCAAAGTAGAAGTTACCGCTATGTAAACTACGTTGGTAAACTTGGGATGTGTACTCTGTTCCCGCTTTGGTCGAACTGCGATACAATCAGTTAAGCTTACTCAAGGGATAAAGTAGCTAACTTTTCAAAGAACACTGTTTATTAGCTAATTTAGGCAGGTGAGATAGAATCTTTGAACCGTACCTGCTCTAATACAAACTTTATATCACCGTGCTGACTGTTAAATTACACGAAGAGCTTAGAAAAACAGAGTCGTTTTTTAATTTACTAGTTTTATGTTAAATTATTTTAAAACACAAATTATTAAAACTATAAGTGCAGTAACACAAATGGCAAAAGAAAAAAACTCAGCAAACGAGTCGTAACTAAACAAGACGTGTGTAAGTTTTAATTAAAATTTTCGAATACATTTTGCATTTCGTTTAAAATTTCTGTCACAAGAACAAAGTCTGATAAAAATATAATCAGTTTACTGACTCATTTGTTCATCTGGTGTTCGTTAAGTAACCTAATATAATAGCCATGCTCCGCTGGATTCTCACGATTCGTTACCAATGATCCAAGTTTGCTCCTGCCCTAACGTTTTTGCAATATTTAACACACTCCTCTTGATCATAACGAGGACTGTTAACTCAAATAAAATATTAAATTAATTAATTTTACAAGTGATTTCAAGTGAATTCCTAGATGAAGACCGCATGTTCTTATTGATTAATGGCCAATACTACATATCTCTAATGAAATATTATGTATTATTTTGTCACCAAACTCTTGATTTGCCTTCAGAAGTCTTTACCAACAAATACGTTCATAATTCAGTCATACAATTAATTAATAATAAAGAAATTGTGAACAATTGAAAACTAAAAACATAATTTGACAACTGTGTAAAAACTGGAACATACATTGGTACTTTCCGACGCCGCGCTGATGAGTCACCCTGTATATGTATTTCCTTGGGTAGATACCTACCTTTTTCTTTGCATATCATCAAAACTCCGTCCGCATTTTGCCAAGTCTCGTGTTCTTCTTCGCCCCCCAAATATGGCACCTTATTGATCCACTTATTTGAATGTTTTTTATCTCGTGTAATTATTCTTTGCGAAAGACAAAAATACCAAACGATTTATCAATTTTTAAGAATTGTAACTTTAAATGAGACATTTACATTTTAACGTTGAAAAGGTGAATAAATAGAACGCATTTGATTCTTTTATGGAAATGTAGATTTTTGAAGCTGAAAATAAACAATAAAAACATTAAAGGCAAGTAAGACAACAAAAGGCAAGCGATAAGAGCTTAACAATTCTTCCGTAGTATAATTTAATCTTCTTTTTTACAGGTACACAATGAAGCTGTTTAGTATTCAATTTTATTTTAAATTAATGTTTGCGCATTAATAAAAATACATTAAACATCTACATATTTATTACACTTAAAATATATTATTGTGTTTGATATTTATCAGTAAAATAAGAAAAAACAGCTAATTTGTTAGTTTGAAATCTCAAAAGTGACTTGTTTTCCTAGTTTGAATAATCGAAATTAAAAAAATAAAATTTTTGCCAAAATTCTGCAAAGTGTCAACTTATAAGATGACAAAATGAGCAACTTTTGGTGTTCAGTATTCTTGACCACTGGTGATTTTTTACCCAAATTTTCGCTTCAATAGGCAATTTTCGTGATCCCAAAGGGGTTTTTGTAACAAAACTTTAAAACTTGTATTAATAAAAAACATTAAATATCTATATATCTTTATTATATACATTTTCGATACAATGTTTATATACGCAAATACAATTTCAATTTATAATTTATGTTATTTTAAAACACAGTCGTTTATATTTGTAGCAAAACATCGTTTATCTACAACAGTGTACTATTGGATGTTACCTTTCCAACAAAACAATACTTATTATTAATAAAATATTTTACTTGGCACATTGACAAAACAAGACTCTTTAGTTACTAAAACAATAAGGAAGATTTTAGTATAGAGTGTAGCCTACTCAAAAATTTTTTCTTTAAATAAACGTCATATACAACAAATGAAAATAATTATTTGTTCAATATCAATACATCACTAAAATTTCTAATACCCTGTCAGTTTAAAGTTTAGAAGAACGGGTACAATGAAAAACATATACAGGTGCGCCAGAACTCGCATCCCATAGAAAAATTTCGAGTGTAAGATAAGATACCAGGAACATGGAAAAAATGTTTAAAAAATTCTCTGTCAAAAAAATTTGCCATTTATTTTTGGATATTTGACATTTTTTTGTCTATTTAATGATATTGATTATCTTGTATATGTTTTTTTCTGAGTATTTAGTAAAAGTACAAAAAGTTTGCCAATAAAACCACAAATAACATTAAACGGAGTTACAATTGAGGACACAGCTTCCTTGTTTCCTCTTCTAATAAACTGTAGCAAAAAAACTTGGAAAATTATTTTTGCAACAGAAGAGTCAAAGTGCAAAATTTAAACTCTCATAACTTCGAAATTTTTATAGATAAATTTTTTTAACATTTTCTCCATGTTCTGTTTTCTTACCTCAAATATGGATGGCATTTTTCTCTGGGGCGCGAGTTCTGGCGCAGCCTGTATGTAAACAAGTTTGAAAAAATCGTCAAAACAAAATTTTCTTTTCAATGTTGATAGTCACACTGTTAATTTTGTTTAGAAAACAGTTTGAACTATATACACTGATAATAGTATTATTAGCCTAGATTTTTAAACAATCAAATGAAATCACTTTTTGCATACGTACCGCGTTCATTCAGTGTCTTAAAAAACAAATTAATTCGATATTTTCATTTGATGTACAACCAGAAAAAAATGTAAACAAACGGCTTATTAAATATTATATACAAAGTCTACACTCTTAAATTAATTATGTACTACAGTAACATTTTCGGACACTACAAAAGCTACATGAAATTGATATTTTGTGCTTCTACATAAATATTGAGGAGTTATAGTATTCCCAGCCAAATATATCCATTGGTTACCTTGTAATTAATTTTTACCGGTTGGATAATTATGAAACGGTTTTGTTAGAATAATTTGCTTTTCTGCTAAAATCGTTTCAGGTATTTTAAAATTATAAACACCCAGTGACAGTTCGTTTGCATCATATATTTTAGTAAATCTATCGTCTGAAAATTTAACAACTAAGCAAAAGTCAAATTACTAATAATTTTTTATGAAACAATTACTTTATAATTTAAGGCACGAGAAGTTATCTAGAGATTTTGGGCTGGTCTACAATCAAATTTTAATTCGAGATTAATTTGACGTTTGCAAAGTAAATAACTTAATTCGAATTAAAATTTAATTCGTTTTGTGTAAATCAGCCCTTAGTAATTGAAATTCTTGCCTCAATTTAATATAGTAAATAAAAAACCTACAAGACGCAAGAATTGTAATAATTAAGTAAAAGTTTTATGATGCAAACGATTTAAGATAAAAACTTCAAAACAGTAGTACATATTTTTCTAAATTAAAAAATTAAAATCACTTAATTGAACTTGTGTAATGCCTCGAGAATTCAAGTATTATCATCTAGTCAATTATGTTAAAAATTAATTATATTTCTCTAAACGATGTCAGTCTTCATTTAAATTAGGTGATACATGGTATATATATATAAACAATTGTACACTTATGCTTTGGTTTTAAGCGTCCTTGTGATTTTATAATCTGAACTTACTGTTCCTATAATCTACTAAATAGTAATTATAATGGATACACAAAATTTGTGTTTTGAGGTATTCACCGCAGCGCGTTGAACAATATTATGGGAAGTATCCACAATGAAAGCTTGCAGTTTAGGTTACCTGAAATAAAAGCAAAATTCAATTAACGGCGTTTAATTAATGAAAATTCTATTCAGTTTGGCAATAAAATATTTTTGTGATGAATTAAAAATTGATGAGGGTAAACATGCGGTCATGTGTGCAACGTCAAACAATGCAGACTTCGTTCACTGGCAATATAAGTCATAGGAAATTGAGAAAATTTCATTTCCGACGACCTTTAGGGCGTGTCATAAACTGTATATGACATGGTACAGTTAGTACAATGCTATTCAAAAGCAATGCCTCAGCATCGCCTTCACTATAACAATATTTCATTCCATATGAATAAAAAATTAAACTCATTACAAAATTATTACATTTTAAGAGCAATATGGTGTCAGTCGCCCCTAAACCTTTTTGTAAGATTTTAGCATAATACAATAATCCCCAAAAATAAATATTGCCACAAATAACAACATTTCTTCCAAATATGACTTATTCGAAAACTAATAGGAATTGTGTTTGACGTTTATACAATTATAGTTTTGGGTTGTGAGATGAAAAATCTAAAGTGGATCACATCTAAAGAGAATGATAAATGTGGCAAGGGAAAACAGATCAAAGACAATATGTGTTGAAACTCAAAATCTCAGACGATCACTTGGCTTTTCCTTTTATTATTGAGGACGTGAATTCCATTTACACATTAATATTTAAAACACTCGTGAGGAACATATATCTACACTCGAAACAGTGATATTTAAATTGCAGTTGTGCCTGAAAACTTCATTATTTGCTAACATAAATCGAAAAATTCCCTCAAAAAATGTTTTTCCAGCAATGTCGCATTCGATTGTTAAATGCTGTTTCAAATTTAATGAATTATTCATAAGTGTAACCGTGTGATAACTGGTATGTACACGTTCAAAGCAAAAGACCGCTTTTTTAGATATTACATAGTAGGAAGGCGGGTTCAATTGTTTGTTCTATAAGGTTGCTGATACTAGTCGATTTTTTTTAATATTCGATAATGGCTTCGAGCTTTAACAAAAGCTTGAAAACACGAACTTTTCAACTTTTACGCCATCATTAAGTTTAATAGAATTGAAGATTTAACCGTCGTTCGGGTTTTGCTGCACTTATTTTCTTGTTCTAACACACCCAAATCTACGTGAATGTGTCAGTGTTAATATTATTTGCATACAGCATAGACCAAAAGTAGAAAAGCGCGTTCGAAGAATGTGTCTGGCTCAAATGAATTCGTTTACTAAAAGCTCTTAAAGTAATTAAAGAATACACAAATTTCTACAAAAATTATGCACTGGTTAAACTTTTATCTTGTTTAAAAATTGATTTTTGTTTTTGTACATCTTATAAAATGTAAGAGAACAGATTCAATTATTAAAATCCTTTATCCTTTACATATCTTAAAAAAAGAATCGAAAAATATTTCATTCTCGAGAGTGTAAATTAATAATCTTTTGAATATTCCATGGCTCTCGAATAAAAATCTAGTGTAAACATCACACGACTTTCCTTATCCTTATCCTTATTTGGAAAACATCCTAACGACAATAATTTAGTGTTGGAAATCCGAGTAGCAAACCTAACCTTACAGACAGAGACACACACACCACACACACACTTATCCTTATAGGATAAGGAAACTAAAAATCTGACAAAATTAGCACCAAATAAAGGCACAAATTAATAAGAATATTTGGAAAGTGACATCTTTGTTATTATGGATTCAAACAAGTGTAACTTACCTGGAGAACTAGCTACTCCACTTGGTACATGGTGACCATAGCTGATACTCTTTCCTTCTGGATCTGAACTTGACTTTTGCTCGGATTTGTCAATTTCATTTAAATTTGATTGATATTTTGAACCTGTAATTACATAGTATAAAAAAAGTTAATGTATCAATGCAGAACTAATGATTCAATAAAAAAAATAAAATTGTATGCTTTTATCTATATGTCTCACCTGTTCATTATTGATCAATAATGACTTCCATTTGAGGTCTATTACAAACGAAATAACGTCCTAAGGTATTGGAGGTTGCTACTATTTATTTGTTGCACACGGACTGTGTCATATTTTTTTTTTGACATTTCATAATTTTTAATTTAATGTAAAATATAAAATGTTGTATATACCATGAGCATTATTTCATGTCTATGGCCTTTGAACGACTTACAAGACTTTTGTGTCCTCAAGCTTGCACACTCGGAGACCACAAACATCCAATAATACCCTTGGTACATAAATAACTATTTTTTGTTGTCCAAGTAATAAGATTTTATTAAATTTTTTACCTACCAAGTAATATTTGAATTTCAGTATAAAAGAATTTTAGTATCGAAAATAGACTCTTATAGGGTGTAATAAAAAAAGTACATTAATTTTAACTAGTGAAACAACTAGTCAAATTCTAATTTTTTTACGTGCAATTTTCTTAACAAAAATTAAACAAAAAATATAGGGCGTTGCAAGCAAAGTTATAGTAAAGTTATGTGAATCACTATTTTAGTCGCTGTATATATTTTTTTATTATTTTAACTTGTGATTATTGTATTTTTGAGTTTAGTTGTTAGGTACAGTTTTTTTATCCTTATTATTCTTTTATTTAGTCTTCTCAATGAATATTTAAAGAATTATCGTATTTTATGAAGATTCCCTCAGGTTTCCGGCTGAAAATTAGTCTTTCTTGAAGAATGGTTGAATTCAGGGTAGGGGCGGATAATTTAATTAGCGGGTTCATTGTATAGTTAAAATTTAACAAAAAAGAGCAAGAAGATGCTAATCTTCGTTTGATTTCTAAATTTATTCATAAACTTGTATCTCTTATCAGTTAGCAACAATTAAATTACCAGTGCACACTTTATGTGCAATATTATACGCCAGAACAACATTTTTTAGGCTGCAAAGTGGCAGTTTAAGTTTTACAAAGTTTCTTAAATGTAAATAAGCTTTCAAATTATTTCCATGAAGTTCACCTCTCTATCAGAATGGTCAAATTAACTTTTCGCATTAAGATTATGAGGAGTATTTTATAATGTTGTGTCTTTTCAATACTGCACAATGCGAAACGTGTTCAAACTTTTAACTGCAATTAAAAAAGAAATAAACGTATTTTTAAAAACAAAAGTTACAAAAACGACGCATTTATTTTACGTAACAATGATTAGCTTCCCATAAAATGCATATAACAAAAATATTATTAGATTTCATTCTAAAAATTCTCTCTCGGTAAAAACATTCTTCTACACCGAAAATTTTCCTTAATTTAAAGGAATCCATTTATACACGCTATGCTTTACAAGAAGTAGGCTAGAAAATGCAAGTTATCTGAAGAATTTTATCACTTCCGAGCTTAAAGTTTTTGGGAAATGCAACCTACAGTAAAATCATTTAAATAAATTAAAGAACAATACTCTTTTAAAACATAAAAAAATGTTTGTATGCCAATTTTCGGGAATTTAGCTCATCCAATAATTCTAGTAATTTAAATTTTTCGAATTTTTAAACAGCTATAACTAAGTTTATGCCGCCACTGCTTTCACCAAATGCTGACTACAATAATAATTTCGTGTGAACCACAATTAGGTACTATAATGCCACTGTATACAAAGTGATGACTTTTGGATAAAAACAAAGATACCTTTCTCACCATGATGAATAGTGAGCGAAGAAGGATTTCCATAAACTGAATTGCTGAGATTGCCATTGCCCAATATATCCCTGATGTGACTTGGCGTTTCTGTAGTTGTTGACTTTGGTGGCGTCGTTGGAGGTGAAGAAGCTACGACAAAAACGTCCATCAATTCTCCTCATCAGCTACCAAACTCAACTTTCTGTTCTACGCACTTTTAGTTAAGTTACCGACATATCAACACAATCAAATTTCTGGCGAAATTTGATAGCGTTGTTTGAAGATCTCCAGAAATCAAGGCTTTAAAAAACTAACATTGTCTTTGTATTAATGTAATCTTCAATTAAACGAAAAGAAACACATGATCCATAAAAGAGTAACACGATATACGAGCAGCTGTTTTGTGCGTATAATTTATAACTACAACCAAATATTTATTCATTTTCTAGTTTAAGACATTTCTAATTGATCCCGTAAAATTTTTGCAAGTTTTTTTTTTCAAACATCAAAACGCAGAACAGAAATAGTATTTAAAAAATGTTGTTTGTATCACGAAATAGCAAATTATCCCAAATTGAAAATTTTGACAGCCGCGATTTTAGTTTTAATTTTCATTATTATCAAATAAATATTAGTAGGTAGAAGCGAAGTAGGAAAATATTAATACAATTACTTTATTCTCCTAAAGACCTTTGCCTTTTAAAGTGACTCTTTACCTCAAAAGTTTACTTACAAATCTAGAAATACAGGGTTATTCATAAATATAAAGCAATATTTGAACCTCAAAAATGACCCATAAAATGATGATAATTTTTATAAAAACTCGTGTCCTATCTCTACTGATAAGAATTTTACAGCCCTCGGAATTTGGGTATGGAAATTTGTTTTTTTTTTGTAATAACTTTGGAACCCTTTGACCAAATATTATAAAATTTTGAATAGTTACTTGCGAGAACATATCTTTTAAACTAATAATCACAAAAAGCGGATACATCTACTCAATTTCCGGTTACAGCAACTGCAGGTCATATATTCTGTGTTTTTCCATTTTTTGGCTTCTTAACACATTTTTTTTTTAAATTTTTTTAAAAATATTTTAATTTAAAGTGAGTACTGCACAACGCTGAAAATTAAAAATATGAATTTTGAATAAGTGGTATCTACGGCAACCAATGACCATGGTCACCTAAATTGCTGCGAGACATCTGTTAACGTTGATGATAAATTCTTGTGAATTTTTTATGAATGAAATGCTACGAGATCCATTTGGATTTATTATTATAGTTATGTTTGGAGTCTGAGGTAAACTCTTTTATTAAATATTTTCGATTAATCGTCTAATAATTGTCCAATCTCAAGTTGACAGATGCCTGACAGCAAAATATGGGATCATGGTTATTCGTTGGCGTGGATATCACTCATTTAAAATTCATACTTTTTGCTTTCAGTATTGTGTAGTTCTCACTTTAAATTAAAATATCTTTAAAACGGTGGATTTTAGGGATATTAAAAGTTATGCGTTTTTTATTCAAAATTGATTACTCTATTGTTTTGAGGAATAAAAAATTAATGTTAAGAGGCCAAAAAATGAAAAAACACAGAAAATGTGACCTGCAACTGCTGTAACCGGAAATTGAGTAGATGTATCTGGTTTTCGTGATTAGGTAGCAGTTTAAAAAGTTTGTTCAAAGTTTGTTCTTGCAAGTAACTATTCCAAATTTTATAATATTTAGTCAAATGGTTCCGAAGTTAAAAAAAAACTAATTTCCATACCCAAATTCCAAGGGCTGTCAAATTCTTATCAGTAGAGATAGGACACGAGTTTTTTATAAAAATTAACATCATTTTAGAGGTCGTTTTTGAGGTTTAAATATTGCTTCATATTTATGAATAACCCTGTATAAATAAATATCTTTTAAACAGCACAAAGCTAGAAGCATGTGAGTAAATTATTAAATTTATCAACAGTGGCGTACTGAGCCCTTAACGGGCCTGTGTTATGGAACACAGGCACAGAAACACAATGGCGTGGCTGTACGGGCTCCCTTCCCACACCAACGACGAGTGTTAAAATATACAGGTGATTCTTAAATAGACCGACAAAATTTTATCACAGTTTCTCAAGGATAAATGGAGACAAACTGTACCCTACTTACGTTTATATCTTTTAGGGGTAAAACCCCCTTGGTCCGTACCACTTACGGCGCTTATGAATTGTTGCAATGATCAAGTACATTTTCATCAAATTAATACCATGGTTTCCACTACCTGTGCTAATACTTATTACGAACACAGCAGTGGCGTACGCTTTACCTTGAAAATAACTTTAATAAATTTTATTTGGAAAACGGTTAAACAAAGATTTTTTAAATATTTTTCTCAGCACGTTCTCATAAAATTTTGTTGGTCTATTTAAGAATCACCCTGTATAAGAATAATAAATTGTAAAATAAAAATTTTGGTTTTGAAACTTCTTTTTTAATAAAAGTCGATAACTCTGCAATCACAGGTTGAGTTTTACTTATACGCATAAACTTAGGGAATGAAAGGTTATGACCACTAATAAGTAAAGAAAAAAGAGGCTAAATAGTTTTTTTATTTTTGTCAAATATTAATAAAAAAATACCACTTTACCCCATCATAATAAAAAAAATTGATTCACTTAAGTAACTCTTGGCAGGCATGGGTGAACAAAATAAATGTAATGTCGGCATTGGTGTCATCAGCGCAAATTATCTAAAATTTTAAAGTCTAATAGTGTTTTTAACACGGTAACTAAGAAACTTTTATTAGAATTTTTTTCACTGTTAGTTATTATTTGGCATAACCTATCATACCCTAAAATTAATTATACGTATAAGTTAAGACTCACCCTGTATCATAAAATAGTATTTTGACATTTAAAAGAGAAAGGATCGATTTTTCTTTTGGTGAATTCATAACTAAAAAAATGATTAACAAACACCAATATTTCACGTTTTGTTTGGAGAAATTCAAATACTCATTTTTCCATATAAAACGCTCCAAATTTTTCTTCATTAAATGGAGAATTTAATTCTGCTTCGATTTGTATTAACATTCTTTATACCTATGAGCTCAAGCAGATATAACAATTTTTTAGTCATCACAACTTAATTTTAACAGCTAATATAAATAAATTGACTTTGGACTTTCGTAAATTTATAATTGGACAAGGAAAGAACCCGAGCCCGTGTACTGCGAAACCCACAGAATATTGCTCAGTTCACCACTGTTTATCAAACCACCCTCGTATAAGCCAAGTTTCATTAAATTTAAATATTTAATATTGCAAACAAAAAACTTATTTTGACAAATTCTTTTTTTGGTTAAATGAAATATAGCCAGTAACCAAAACCAATAGTTAATTATTAAAATAAAGTGCAATTAGTGCATTCCTATGATTTACAAAAATGAAGTAACAAGTTTAAATCCACGTTGAAGAAAGCGAAAGTGATATTTGTAGAGCCAAATATAGAAATACGAGAGTAGGCTCAGTGTATAAAGAGCAATTGAAATAAAATTGTGTTAATATCAGCGTTTCACGTTGGAAGGTTATGAGAAATGCGTGTAACTGTAGCTTGGTGGCGTCAATTCGGTCGTTACCGCGATGTGACAATCTGCCGCCGCATGACGACATATTTCATATTCATTTTATCGTTGATGAATTGCGAGATTTGAACATTGACACTGATTGAACGGTACAACTTGATTAGATACGGTGTTAAGCGAGTAAGTTGAGTGCTGTAAAATTTGTCATTCCTTATATCGACGACGGCGACGTCGGTGTTACAGTTGCGAATGGATGATGCCACAAATCGCTACTACCTGAGACAAATTGCCTATATATCCCCTATCAAAGTACACCAATAAAATAAATAAAAAAGGGAATTTCCGCCCCTGTCGTAACGTAACTCATCGTCATGTAAATGTTTTTTCGAGTGAAAAAACTGGATTTGTTCGATTATTTTCCTAATATTAGTGAAGAGAAGTCGGCAACTGTCGGAACATTGCGCCAAGTTGTTGCTATAGTAACGACACGTGTTGAGCACGGCGTCACTTTGTGAATCTTGTCACGTTATGAGATGAAAAGGGACCTTTGGGAAAAGCAAAAGGAGACGAGGAGATCGAAGGGGTGGACTTTAGATCGAGATGATGACGCTAAACAGACACCCCAAAACAATTGAATTAAAATAGTACAATCCGCAAAAGTAAAAAGGATTAATACATGCACCTAAAACTACATCGGAAAAAAATTTGAACCATTTTGGAATTGTAACTAAACTAGAATAGAATGTTATTATTTCATATGCATGTTGCCAGTCTAGAATATCTATGAGTGGCAGGACATCAGCTTCGATGTAAACTGTTTTGCTCTTTGGCCAACAACATACGACAGTTGAAACTTTGACGGGAAATATGAGCAAACCCATCCAACTGATTTGCAAAGAGGCAACAGATGTTATTAAATAATCAGAAGATGCCTGCTGGCCGAATGATGTATTCGATTCATAATTTTCGCCTAATTTGTAGCTACGCGCTGCTTCATTATAAAAACAGGCTTCAGTCCCATTCAACTTGTTTTAACTGTATTTCAATTGTTCTTAAGGTTTATGCATATTTTAAAAATAGAAAACAAATTTTATACACATGTATACTAGATGTTTCTTTAACATTGCAAAAAATTGCAACTAATAAAACAAATAAAAATTAAAATTAAAAAAATATATATTGAGTGACGTACCATGGCTCACAAAGCCTGTAAAATTTTCTGAAAATACCTCAAGTGGTTTGGGATTTTAATTTTTTATCATGAAACGTTATCACCCTGTACACTAGAATTATCATATATCTGACATATTAGTGATATTTTTCGATGTAGAATATGTGGTTGCAATTTTTCGCAACATTAAGAAAACACCCTCCTGTATATCTGATTTCGTAAAAATCTACTCATTGCAAAAATGTTCACAAAATTAATTTGAAAAATAGTTAATTAAGATATAGCGAATGCAAGAAAAGACGACTTTCAATTCTGCAGTAGTACAATTGCAATAATAGCCTAAGATAAGTACGTGATCTGTTTTCCGGTTACCGGAAGCGATTGTGTGAACCATCTAATCTGTTGTATATGTAATATGTCTTGTATATTGTATTTATTACGAGTTTGTAGTTTCGTAGGTTGGCACTATTTATGGATCCAACAAACTTCAAATATGTAGGTATTAAAGTAGAAAAAGAATACATTTGTCTAAAAACATATTATACGCCGCAGAGAAACATATTATGACCCTTGCTGCTTCTGAGACATACAAACATGATGTAATAATGCTTAAACTATGCTTAGACTTATAAAAGCTTTTGTTTTTTAAGTGATTTACTAACTTCTGTGAACATCATTGTTGATTCAGACTCAATCACTTATAAATATTTCAACATAAAAGTGCAAGTAAACGGACTTAGAAAACTTTCAAAATAAACGATTCATTTATCAGAGTGCCGTTCCTTTGTGAAAAACACAAACTTTTCGTGTAATTGCTTAATAATTCAAAGTTCACTCAGAAAAATCAAATTTTTAACAATCCATTCCACAAAAGTGTACGTAGTTTGATAAGAAGTTTCAATCAATGGGTACAATTTTATAATATGATCCACATCCTAAACAAAAATTTGTTTACGCGGGGAAAATAATTTAGAGATCGAATTTTAATTAATGTTCGTCAATAGAGAAACATTAATAATGTTCTTAATTAGTGTAATTAATGTGTGGCGTCAAATGAAGCAAATGCAAAACGTTTTAATTCTACAATTTATTTATGTACCAAGGACATACTCAAAAAAGCCAGAAGAGATCTTTAAGCTCTAATCATTATGTAAAAATTTTCAAATTAACATGTTCAAAAAAATCAACTTGACTTTGAAATAAACAAGAACGGGTTAGTTTTCACAAAATTTTAACTAGACTGAGAGCGGAGAGTTGTGAAGTCCTAATAAGGCAAAGTTCATCGTAAAAAAATCCTTAATTCATCCAACCGTTAAAAACGTTAACGTGCTTTAATTTCAGTAAAAAATAACCTTGTTGTTAGAGCTCTGTGCCATAATCATAAGTTTATAAAGCTGTACTTTCAATTTTCACTGGAGAAGTAATTGACTAGAAAATGTGATAAACAATTTTGATCATAAAAGCTGTGGATCGTATTTTATCAAACCACAAATCCACAAGTGTTGTATGAGGTTACAGAATTTAAATAATTGTAACGTTCGTCGATAAATTTTAAATGTCCAAATTGAAAATAATGGTGATCGCGTAACAGCAAGTAATATTTAAGTAAGTACATTTTATAAATCGTGCAATTCGTAGAAAAATCAGAGCGGTATTTAATTCCAGCGGTGGGAAATATGAGGTAGATGCAGTCGACTGCACTTACCTGTTTGTGTGAAATTAGATGATGCACACTAATTAACAAATGCATACATTGGGGTCTGTTGGAGCTAAATGTCGAAAAAGCTAAACATTAACTAGCTATGAAAGTCGATATATCGGCAAAATGAATGGTCATTCCAATAGATCTACGGTTTACATGCATACAGTGGCAAAATACATGTCGTCCACACGAAACAACATATTTAGTAACATCGTAACCATGCTAGGAGCTGCATTGGCAGCTAATGCAACAAACCGCTTCTATTCATCATCCGCAGGTCTACGAGTAGGTCTACAGAGGTATAAGCAGGGAAGGCAGGTTTAGCCTATATACGTAAGCGGCACTATGCTGATTTTACATCAAATCAAATCTGTACATCGTTATGTTTTCGATCCATTTAACTAATCGAACATCTGTCTGATGTGTTCAGTTCAAATCAAGCTCAATCCCTTCACCGGCACCGATATGGAAATAAGGATAAATTCGTTGAGAGCTGAGTGGTCAAGATGAATCGTCGAATCCGGCTGATGGTCAGTGAGGATCTTAACAAACAGAATCCATGTAAACGACGACCGAGCGTTCAGTAATTTGAAAGATTTTGTTCGTGACCACACACCGTCAAAGTTAGAGAGGAATACCTCACTGATCCAAACCGCATCGAATACCTTTCTTGCGGACATTTTTACTCAACAAGTAACATTCATAAGAAATGAAATACGAGCGCGCATCTGTCCATGTTATTGTTGTATACAAGTTTCTTTGCGAAGTGCTTCCTAACGGTTTCCAGATATATAACCGCTGCCGTCTGGCGATTCCACTTTTATAGCAAATTGCTCGATAACGCAGTAATTTATAACTTCTAAACGGCTTTTTCCCACCGTCTTTATATTTTTTTATTTAAACTTAAGACTCGTATTAAGATTTAGCCGATACAAACAGAAAATTTAATTCCCAAATCAAAAATATCAAAATCACGTTACAACCATTCAGTTACATTTATTACTAGTTTATGTGAGCGCACGAAAAAACACGTTTAGAACCCTCTAACAAGTTTAACTATACCCGACCGATAACTATTACGAGAACTTGGGTGAAACACTTTTTCGACATTCCATACAACACTCTTGCCTTTTTTCATTAGCATACATTTTAAATAATATACTTCTCACAGAAAGTAAAATAAAATTTTATTGCATTATTCTGTCATGAATATCTATAGCCATTATTCAAGCTGTCATTTTTCTGGATATTAATATATATTGACAGAAATAATAGTTATACTACTCTAGCTTTAATTTTTAATTAAAAAGTAAAACTACACAATATGTATATGTACTACATGAGTAATGTGGTATCGCAGGATACTAATTTTATTATAAAAGTAGAAATATAATTTTTTGATTTTTTTATACAAGATGATTCAAAAGTGTCGGGCCAACTCTCGAATGATAATAAAAAACTTTCAGTTAAGCTTAAAAATTAATGCAAATTTTTTGAAGCTTTTTTTTTGAGAAAAAACAAAATTGTCAATTTCCATATTATCATGTAGGCATTTTAGCTCTTTTGTTTACAATGTTGTCGGATTTGGGGATATTTTTCTATAGGTACCTGTACCTAATGTTTTCCGCTAACTAAAGTTAAGAATACATGATCTGAATAGCCATGGGATTTTTAACTTACATGTTCTTCAACACCATCCAAGAGATGGCAGAATACTTTTAAATCACTCTGTATACAAGTGGTTGTCAAATAAAGCTACTTAAAATAATATCGAAACATTTTTGGTGAGACATTAAACATGCCCTCCTTCCATAAATTTTTGGATTAATCAATCCCTTTGCATAATAACTATTACGAAAAATATACCATACTAAAAATTACAGATTAGTGAATTCTCAATGACACGCTAGATTGTGATATTTTGATTGCCAAAAAGTCAGTCTAAAGAAAGTGTTGTTTCTTTAAAAAGCTCATGTTTTTATGAATGCATTCTCCAAAGATTGGTATTGCAAGTGTTGTAATCGGTTATTAAAGTTCAATATTCAGCTAGTTCACGACTTCCATAAGTTGAAATTAATGACTGAATGGTTGCAGAACGGTTGTTTTGTATTAAAACTTCGGCGTACTTCGTAAATCTCCTTAAGTAATTAATCCACAAAAACAGCAAACACTTACTGTAAAGTCTAATTGTGCCATCGGTTTCACCTCGAGGATTCTTTGCTACGCACTTATAAGTGCCGTAATCAGTTTGTTGTATATTGTTGATTGTGAGTTTCATGTGGGTTTTATAAGATGGTGTTCCAACTGTATTCTCGGCATGATATTTCTTCGATTCGTGTATCATTTGGCCATCTTCTCTAGTCCAGTAGTTAAGAGAACTCGGATGGGCCTCCGTGAAACATTCCAGTGTTACAGAATAAGCTAAAGGAGCGCCGACCAGTTGATGTGGTATCCACAACATTGGAGGAACTGCAACAATAAGAAAAAAACAATCGATTTTACAGAAAATTGACACGACGTAACCTATGTGTTCACCTACATCCACATAGAAATAACTAAATGTGTTTTCATTATAGAATGCAAAACAGCAGGAAACTTCAGCACGAATACTGGCTGGTGATATTTCACGTTCTTGGGAGAGAATGGCCCGCTAAGCGACAGTAACAGGAGCCGAGAGAACCGAGCTGTTTACATGATCATTTACTTTTCTAACATCTTTAAATGCATAACGTTCTCTCTCCTCCAAGCTTACTGCCGCACTTTCCTAAATTGCTTTTCTATTTCAGCCAAGTAATTGACTATAAGTCAATTACCATCTATTTCATAACCAATTCAATTAGCTACGTTGTGAAACGTACGAGAACGCAGATACAGCAGTTCTACAATTTTTAACTATTCTAGTTGCAACGACATTTATTATGCTTATTTATTTTCTTCTTTTTTAAGCTACAGCAATTGTTATATTTCGTGTGTTGTTTATTGATAACATAGAACTAATATGTAAACTTAGTAAAAAAAAACAATTAAATTTTAGGAGAAAATCCCCAAGCTGCTAATATTTCCAAAAAGTGTTTTTATAATTTTTTTTAATCGAACTAGAATCGTATAAGTAAAGCTTACTAGTCATTAAAAACATTTTTTTCTAAGTAATGCTATACAAAACGTAAGTAAGCACTGCCTTCTTAAAATAATAGAAATATTATTTTATTTGCAAAACAAACCAAAATATCATAATTCAAAAAATTAAGCCCGTAGTTCATACAACAAGATTTACTTAACTTTGCCCATTCCTAAAAATTATTCAAATTATTTATTTTAAAAAATAGTATACTCTCTTACACTCAAAATTTTGTGAATTTCAGGAATGGACTACATTTTGAATATATTCTTTAAATAAATATTCATGTTAAATCTCATAGTAATTTATTAACTTATCTCATTTTACCAAATAGTGGATAGTAGTAATAGCACATGCGAGGTGGAAAGTGTGTCATATACTATGTGTATATACATTCTGTGTGTCCCCGGATAGGTGAAACGGCATAAAACATTTTCTATTTAAATTTTTATTTTTTTGGAGTTTAGCCCAGCTTGGTTAAATACTAATTTCTAACATAATTTTACGTGATGGATGTTTTAAATATTTTTATATAGGTAAGTATTCAGTACTAGCTAAGTATTCAGTACCTACCGAAATTACTACTCAGTTTTTTTAGGGCAAAACCATCGCAGGCCTGTGTAATCTTAATGTAATTTTTTCATTTGTAATAAAAAATGATAAACCTGAGAGTTAAGAACCGGAGTATTACTATGGTGATTATGAATAAACATAATTACAGTGAGTTATTAATTTTTCAAAACTACGATAAAATGGTGATTCGCCGGGATAACACACTCAATATACGTATTTCAATTTTATAAGCATAAATTTTAATATACAGGTGCGTCAAAACTCGCGCCCCAGAGAAAAATTTCAAGTAAGATAAGATACCAAGAACATAAAACAAATGTTTAAAAAATTCTATTATTTGACGTTTTTTTATGTCTATTTAATGATACTGATGATCTTCGATATGTTTTTTATAATTATTTAGTAAAACTACAAAAATTTTGCCAATAAAAGCCACAAATAACATTAAACAGAGTTACAATTTAGGATACAGCTTCCTTGTATCCTCTCTGTAGCAAAAAAAAATGGAAAATTATTTCAGCAACAGAAATAAATAGACTCGAAGTGCAAAATTTAAACTCTCTGGTATCTTACCTTACATGGTATTTTTCTCTGGGGCGCGAGTTCTGGCGCACCCTGTATAGCTATAATATAAATTCCAAAGTATGTAATTTTTAATTTTGTGTTATTTTTAGTATATAATAAAAACACAATAGATGATTAAGTATGTGGTAAAAATGGTGGATGCGTCGGGATAGGAATTTCAACCATATAAAAACTCTTTTTAGTAAGTGTTATGTTATAAATTTTTCATTGATTTATTACTTGTCCCATTTTTCGTGTGTTACAAAGATAATTACAGTAAACGAATGTTATATTTTGATAAAAATGGTGAACGCACCATGATATTAATGTCAACATATTTGGTTTTAGATTTTGTATCTTGAACTTAGCAAAGAAAAATAATTGTGACTTTGTTTAATATGTACTAAAAGTCTGGAAAATTTGTATAAAGTGTCGATTTTGTTCTGTTCTACAATAAAAATTCACAATTATTCAGAATGTTTCGTTTTTATTGTTATACATTTAAATAGATGGTAGAATATTCAATTTGAAGACAAAAGTTTCTTATAAACATGTTTTGAGGAAAGGAGGAAGCTACATTCCCTAAAAGAGGTGCCTTTTTTAAAAGGTTTTCCAATATTTCAGAATTTTTTAATTAGGGGCGTCGTAAACGGTAAAACGAATTTAATGTTTAATTGTTAATGGTTTATGGTCTGCAACATAAATTTTAAAATTGATTTTACTGAAAATCGGTAAGTTGTATCAAAAAACGCAAGACCTTGTCTATGAAAATCTATGAAATGTAGAATTTTGTTGCTGAAAGTGGCAAGAAACTTTAGCCAAAATAGAGTATTTTTTACCCTAAACCCACCCAATTTAGAAAACCCCTGATTAAACATTTCAACATTTGATCTGTTTAGTTTCTTGTATAGAGAAACTTTAGTGGAACGGGGTTGGTGGTTTATAAAAACATTCTTGATTTTTAAACCTTATATTTAAACAACTTTTCCCTTTGATGGGTTACAAAAGACTCTCACAAACTAAAACTTTCTTTGTCCAAGTGGACGTACGATCCACCCCCATCTGGAGGAGTGAATATGGTGGGGTGCGTACCGATTGGGTACGGTAGGTACCGAACATGATCTTTAAATTCGCTTAGGTGTATAAAAGGTTATCATCTGTACCAAATTTTGCAATTTTACCTAAAACGGTTTCGGAAATATCAGAAAAAAAACATTAAAAGATGCACCCATTTGAGGGGGTGTAGCTCCCTTGCGTAGCATTTTTCGATACATGTTCATAGGAAACTTTTGTCTTAAAACTGAATATTTTATCTCCTGTTTAAATTTGTAATAATAAAAACGGAACAACCTTATATTTTAATTAATTATTATTATGAAAGAGTAGTTAACACGAATAAAGAAAAGTAAAGTTGTCTCTTTAGGTGTTATTATTTGTTTAAAATTTGCTTTCGCAATGTAATAGTTTGTGTTAAAAACGTTATCACTGTTAAACTCCTAGACAAAAATTCATGTATGTATACTTAATGGTTTTTATCTTCTTGTTGTAAACAATTTTTTTTACTAAGGTAATATAGTAATCCTCATTCTGCCAAAATTGGCACGTGATCAACAACCATTTATTATGCAAATTATTCAAATGTAGCTGAGGTGAGTATTGCAAGATATTAAAAAAAAAAATTAGATGTTTCTCTCACTAAACTTTGGTACAATTTGGTTAATTATCATCATTTAGCCAAGGGGGCAAAAGTATAGCGGAATTTTAAAAGCATGAATAATCGCTACGAGAGCGATTTAGATAAAAGCATGAAAACAAAACACGGTTGAAGTTAGTTAAGCACAGTTCACTAAAGACTTTCAGTTTGAAATTCTCTATCAGAGAAACTGCAGAATTGACTTTAGCGTCTTTATTTGAGAATGAAACTCATTGATTAAAATGCGCATTTTACCCTTTAAGGTAGTTTCTGTTTATTTGCTGAAATACGGATGAAAGTGTATTGTTTATTTTAATTAATATTCGTGTTACTCCCCAAAAATTCTCTTTCATACAATGAGTAAAGATGACCCAGTTAAGCAGAACCTAAGAGTGATTAATTCTAATCCAAGCCTAATAATAAAAAAGGCCTTTTACATTTCGAAGATAATTACCAAAAGTTTTCGACAAAATGCAACAATTTATTACAAGTTATTATTTGGTCTCTTTACTTTTGCCATACAGTAATTTTATCGAAAATATTCACCTTTTTTGTTGTTTTTTTTTTTGACAAAATCCGGTATGAGTCTGTTGTTAGTTTTCATAAATACAAGACTAAAGACCACACATAAAAAATGAAAAAGAACAATTCTTAATTATTTATACATTATTAATTAAAGTAAATATATTAAATATATTATTATATATTAAATATATTATTATATATTAAATATATTACTGTATTGTTACGGGAGTTACCGTGTGTATGCAAAATTTTAGCTTGTTAGGACAACTGTCTCAAATAGTGATGGTAAAATTTCAGAGGTTGGTTTTGTCCTTAATAACCCAAGCCAGTTGTAGGATTTTTTCTGCTCTATCGAATGGAGTTGGTAACATTTTCGTCTTACAATTAGAGGCCGAAATATTGATAATTGTTTATTACAATTGTTAATTGTTTTAACTAAAATAAATATCATTGTAGTGTTACAGGAATCACTTGTGTATGCAAAATTTCAGCTTGTTCAGACGACAGGAACTGTCTCAAATTTGACTCATAAAATTTCGTAACGACAGACAGACACAGACTACAAAGCAAGTTAAATAAAAGCTTATAAAGAAATAAATGCTGATTTTTTCAAGCTATTTTTTGAGACCTGGCCTGACCTGACCCGTTAATTTCCATATTATCATGTAAGCATTTTGACTTTTTTGTTTCTGATGTTGTCGGATTTAATGTATTGTTAAATTTACTAGTTGTATTTTGTACTAAAAGTTTTTCGAAATACAACAATTTATTACAAATTGTTATTTAGTCTCTTTACTTCTTCCATATAGCAATTTTTTCGAAAATATTTACCTTGTTCGTTGTTCTTGTAACAAAATCCGTTATTAGTCGGTTGTTAATTTTCATCAACACAACACTGAAAGCCACATATAAAAAATCACTGTTTGTCGGTTCAGTGCACAAAGTCCAAAAATGGAGAAGTATGCCGTTTGTCCTTTCTTGATGAAAATTTTCATG